CCGCCGCACGCACTCGGACCCGGGCCGGCCGCGATACACACTCACTCTCCCCTCGCGGGCACTGGGGATGGAGGTGACCCAGCGCAGCGGGGAGAGGGAGGTCGATCGGGGGCGGAGCGCGGTACGTGGGTGCGGGATGCGGGATGCGGAGTGCGCAGGAATCTCCCGAGTCCGGCTCCGCCAGGGCAAGGGCGAAGCGTCCCCGGGAGAGTGTCCCTGAGGGATGTTCGGCGCTTACCTGTTGGCAGGTACAGGAGGGAATGGATCATTGGGGTGCCCACGTATGTGTCTGGGTATCTCCATGGAGCAGGGTGTCTGAACACGTCCCGGCGTGAGGCGTGGCCCACACCATCCTCCTGGTGTGACCTGGAAAATAGCTCCTCATTCTGCCTCAGTTTCCGTAGGATGCAGAGGAAGGGAGCAGAGGCAGACTGCTTGAGTGTGGGTCTGCGGCAGGTCAGTTCCTTTTGGGGCCTTTTCCTACCATGCTGAGATGGAGTGGGGGGGGTAAGAGTTTCCCCCCTTTCCCTGGGGTGAACAATAAGGACCCAAGATCCAGGCTGCCGGTAGACCCAGGCAGGGCAGGTGGGGGTGGGAGAAGGACAAATGCAAGGGGAGGAACACTCCTCAACCCCCACCCCACTCCCCTTCTCTGGGGAGAGGCAGTCACTGGGGGTTGAGGACTACAGTCTGGGGTCAGGAGGTTGCCATGGGCCAGAGGGAGTTAGAGAGATGCTGTGGTATATCTGGCCCCCTCTGGGACCCCAAGGACACAGGAGCATCTTTTGGAGGGGAGAACTCCAGATCTGGGCATGCAGAAGCTAGAAAGAGGCATCAGAGACCAGCAGAGATGGAGAGAGAGGCAGAAAAGGGGCGCGTTGTTGACAACCCATACGAGACCATCTTCCCCGCCAGCACCTGCTCCAAGCCAGCTCCGTGTGCTCCCCCAGAGTCAGAATCCCCTAACTCCAGCCTTCTTTCTAGTCCTGCCCACACGCTCTGAGCATCCAATATCCTATAGGCCTGCTCCATGGCCAGCCACCCTCAGACTGCTTGCTGCCCCTCACCCACCCAGACCTGGGTGGTCCAGTTTAAAGGCACGGAGGGAGAAAAGGACAATGGATAGAGGTGCCAGCAGGCGGCATACTCACAAGACTTCAAAAAATAACCCAGTGAGTCTGGACCTCGATCTGAGTCATCCACTGGGGACACAGCTCCGTTGGCACCTGCTGCTATTTTCTCAGGAAAACTTAAGAAGCGAAAAGACAGGGAGAAGCACCAGCCGGCAATAGCTCTAAAAATAGGCTGCATCTCAGGATGTGCCCCAGGGAGAAGCCTCCCGGCTACAGATGGAGCCTCTGGGAGGCAGGGGGTGGGTGCCTGTGGGTGTGCATGCAGGTGTGTGGGTGTGCACGCAGGTGTGAGTGTGTGTGTGTGTGTGTGTGTACCAGCATGTGTTTTGCTGTAGTCCCTTAGTGCAGGTCTGGGTTTGCAACAGGCAGTCTCTGGGTAAGGGTGCATATGTGTGTGTCAGGTATAGTCAGCAGGGTATGTGTGTGTTTGTACACATGTGTGTTGCTGGGCCTCGCTGCTCAGGTCCCGGTGAGCTCTGGTCACTATGCACATGCGTGCATATGTGAGAATCTCTGTGGATCGGTAGGCACACGCCTGGGGAGGACAGCTGGGGGCAGTTCATGCATGTGCTGTGTTTATACCAGTGCCCAAGTGCATGTGTGCACATACTTGAGTGGCCTTCAGTCCTCTCCTCTGTGAAATGAGTACCACCTTGGTTTCTGCTTCACAAACTGGCTGTAAGGAACAAATGCATGTCACACAACCAAAGCCAGGATGATGGGAGCTTTTATTATTATTATCACAAACAGCAAGCCGAACATATCCAAGGTACAGGAAAAGGCCAGATACCTGGTAGGGTCAGGTCAGGAACTTCAGATGCCTGGGGAGGGAGGGGTCCCTCCGACCATGTACTGGATGTTGGGAGGACTCACTGCCCAGAACCACCCCTCAGCCTATGGCTGTATTGTGCTCTCTTCCACGCATCACCTCTCTGGGCCTCCTATCAGCTCTGGGTGGTGAGTTTTCATGAGGTCATTTCGAAGACAAGGAAATGGAGGGTAAGTGGCAGCGCTGGGATTGGAGCCCCAGGCCACACAGCTCCGAAGCAGGGGCCAAGGTCTGAAAGGATACCCGGGAGACACCTGGGCTGGCCTGAGTCCTTACCCTCTCCCCACCTGCAGGCCCCTCACAGTGGTACAAGCTGTATCCCATTGCCCAGGGAGACCGCCAATCACCAATCAATATCATATCCAGACAGGCTGTGTATTCGCCCAGCCTGAAGCCACTGCAGCTCTCCTATGAGGGCTGCACATCCCTCAGCCTTGCCAACAATGGACACTCTGTCCAGGTGGACTTCAACGACAGCGACGATCGATCTGGTAAGTGGCCCCTCACAGACTCTGGCACCGCTGCTCCACCCGGGGAACGAACCCTGTTTGGGGCAGGCACAGGAGGGGCAGCATGCGGTGGTGGGGGGAAAGGCTCCACCTCTCACCAGCTGTGAAGCCGTGGCCTGAGCCTCGGTCTCCTGAGGCATAAAATGAGAGTAATGAGACCTTATTTTGCTCCCTAGGGTCATAGAGAGGAAAAATGAAAAACTGAAGCGATGTTTGTAGTGCTGGCACACAGCAGATGCTCAGAAGCTCAAGAAATGCTACTTCCCTTCCTTCTCTTCTCTTTAGTGCTTTAGGTCAGGTTTGTTTTCACTTCGCTCCCTGCCCCATCACTGTAGGGCTGTGTGGCCTCAGGCTAAACCCTCCTCTCTGTGTGCTCTGGCCAAGCCCAGCAGAGAGAAAGGAACGAAAAGGTTCTGTGCCAGGCCCCTTGCTAAGGTCACAGGCAGCTTTTCTTCCTCTCAAGAATCTACCTCTAAGATGGGCAAGTAGGTGCCCTGGCCTGGTGGCTCGGTTGGAGCATCGTCCTGTACACCGAAGGCTGGGGGCTTGATTCCCAGTCAGAACACATACCTAGGTTCTGGCTTCGATCCCAGTGGAGACAGGCAGGTCCAACAGACAGCTGATCAATGTTTCTCTCACATCATCTCACTCTCCCCGCTCCCTCCTTCCTTCTTCTCTTTCTCTAAAAAGCAATAAAAATATATCTTCGAATGAGGATTAAAAAAAAAAAAAAAAGATAGGCAAGTAGAGACTCAGTGAGCTGGGGAGGGCGCAAACCAGCCAGTCCAACTCCAAAGGTCTTCTTTCCAGCCCACATTCAACCTCAAGATCTTGAGCCAGAGTGGGGGGTTAATGATTATCGACATCCTGTCGGTGTGAAAAGGATTTTCCCTGACCCCAATGGGACCCTCTTTCCAAGGTCTCTTTGCTCTGGGATCGAAGTCCAGGCTCTTTTATGATAAATTCCTAGGCAGAGGGCCTCAGAAGTGCTCCTCCGTGAAGGAATTGTGTCCTTATGATCAGGCTTATGAGGGGTGGAGTGGGGCAAGGAGGAAACTTGCTGGAGTTTCTTGTGTAAGAAAGCGACAGGAACTCTGCCTACCCCACCCGCTCTCCTCCCCTCCCCTCCCCCCACCATGCACATAATAAAAGCACTCAAGGGAACTTAAGTTTCAAATAAAAAAATCAAAGGGCAGCCCAACCAGCATGGCACAGTGGTTGAGCATTGACCTAGGAGTCAGAGGGTCACATTTAATTCCCGGCCAGGGTACCTGGGTTTTGGGCTCAGTCTCCAGTGTTGGGCATACAGGAGACAGCTGATCAATGATTATCTGTCATCATTGAAGTTTCCCTCTCTCTGTCCCTATCCCTTCCTCTCTGAAATTAATAAAAACATATTTTTTAAAAAGAATTCTTTCAAATCAATAGTAAAAAGGCAGATAATTGCCAAGAAAATAGGCTAGGAAAAAGGGGAAAGAGGATCAGTTATAGTTCTTGCTGCAGAAGGGAGCAAATCCAGCAGATCCTCAGCATTTCCTGGTACTAAACTGTAAGAAAAGCCTCTGACCCAGAGCTTTGGAGAGGGACATGGGGCTCTTGATAACCAACCTTAGGTTAGGTTGATGAAGGAGCAGTTTTCATATGGCTGTACCTTCTAAACGGAGGGCACTGAGGGTTCAATTCAGACAGCAGTAGCTCAATGAAGGCCATTGTATGGGGTGGGGGTAGAAGGCCCTGAACCACTGACACAGGGGCTCACTGTTAAGTCCGCTGGAGTTCCCTCCCCTACCAGAACACCCAGCCCTGAGAGGGCAGGGAGCCAGTGGGAAGAAGGTAGGTTCGGGGGAGAGATGATTGGAGCCGTGCCACTCAATAGCTGTGTGACCCTGGACAGAATACCTACTTTTCTGAGCCTTAGTCTTATATTTATCCAATAGGGATAACCATGTGTCCCCCTCAAGGTCCCTATGGAGTTCAGGATGTGCACAGTGAATGGCAGTGTGTTTTATGGTCAGCAAGAGGCCAAGGGAGCCAAGTTCAAGGGGTTAGGGAAGGAGTTCATTCTCTGAGAGACCACACTTGGGTCCCAGGTAGGGCATGCTCAGAGGGGGAGGGGAGGTCCCCACAGGCCGTGTCAGGGAGCTCAGCCTGAAGGCCTTGCTTCTCAGATAAGGCAGGACAGATAGCAAGGATTGTCCTCTCTCCTCCTCTTCTTCCCCCTCCTGCTCTTCCTTCTCCTCCTCCTCCTCCTCCTCCTCCTCCTCCTCCTCCAGGGGCCCACAGGGGGCAAGGCCCTGGCCTGGTCACCATCCTGAAGAGGTCTAGTGGAACTCTGAGCCCAGGGCAGTCACCTGATCCAGGGGCTCACATTCAGGCCTGGCAGGAGCTCCCTCCACTGCCAGATCCCTTTCAGCTAGAAATTCAATAAGTCTCAGGAGGCCTTAGGCGTGGCCCCAGCTCACCAGATATCAGGGTGGGAAAGTCATAAAACCAGCACAAATGGGGCCCACCATTGGAAGTATCTGGGTCCAGCCACCAGAGTGGGGACCCTCAGGAGCTGGCCTCTGGACAACACTAGGTCCTAAGGAGGCAGCATGGCCTGGTGATTAGGGGCTTGGGCTCTGGACTTACAAAGGATATGCAGGCTTATCTCCTAGCTCAGTGCCTTGCTGTGTGACCCTGGGCAAATGCCTTGCCCTCTCTGTGCCTTGGCTTCTTCCTTTACAAAATAGAGATAATAGGTTCTATCCCTCATGAACTACTATGAGAACTAAACAAAATAATCCTTCTGACTCAATCCACGGTCAGCGCTCCAGACAGTGGATTTATTGGTCGGGAGTGGGGAGAATGGAGAGATGTATTCTGTCAGTGCCACACTCTCTGCTACCTGCAGGCTGCCAGGACTTCTGCCCTGGCCCAGCTAAGGGCCCAGGGAACAGAGTGGAGACTGACCCAAGACCAATTAGCCCAACCAAAAATTTTCCATATGAAAAATGTACCTCCCTCTCGGGTACTGCCCTGATCCTGGCACCAGCACCTGCCGGTTGTTGTGGACTCTCTCACATGGATTGCTACACGCCCCACTTCTACCCACAGTGGTGACTGGGGGCCCCCTGGATGGGCCCTACCGGCTCAAGCAGTTCCATTTCCACTGGGGCCAGATGCACAATGTGGGCTCAGAGCACATGGTGGACGGCAAGTCATTCCCCTGCGAGGTAAGGGCCCTCCTCAGTGGGAACCCCTTTGGGGAAGGAGTGGGGGACTGGATAGTCAGGGGTTTGGCAGGTGCCTGGTATGGAGTTCTGGAGAGACTGAGGACGAGCACCCAGTGTCTGGGAGAATCGTCCTCCACCCACCCCCAGCGCAGGATTTTCTACCTGAACTCTGCCCACTGCTGCCCGGGCCTGTGTGTCCAGAGGGAATTTTCTGCAGGACAAATCCGGTCCCGCCACACCCTTGCTAATAAGCCTTCAAGGACTGTGTTTAGCATTCAAGGCCTTGCTGAGCCTCCTCCTCCCCTACACTGTCCCCACGCTGCACTGCAGGTGATGCAGCCCCAGCCCACACCTGGCTCTTTCACACCCATATCTCCAGGTATTCTTCCTGGAATACCTTTCCCCCAAGGTCCCGCCTGATTACCCCCTAATTATTCTTTGGACTCAGTGCAAGTGCCTCTTCCTCTGGGCGTGTCCCTGGATGGTCATTATCTATTTTATAGTTAGTTCATGGAGGGCAGGGCCTGAGCCGGATTCCTCTTTGGTTCCCTGGGGCTCAGGAAAGGGTTGGGCCCAAAGCAGGATGGATGCTTCGTGTGCCCTTTGGGGGCTCCCCAGGGCCACATAGGATGCTAGCTAGGCCCGGGCGGTTGGTTGGGCAGCCTGTCCTTCCTTCAGAGGAGCCAGGAGTCTGATGGGAGTGAGAGAAGCCTTGCTCTGAGCTCCTGTGGCCCAGGGAGTGCTGAGCACTGGTCTGGCCTGTTGTTAACCCTATAGCTGCACCTGGTTCATTGGAACGCCAAGAAGTACAGCACCTTTGGGGAGGCGGCCTCAGCACCCGACGGCCTGGCTGTGGTCGGTGTCTTCTTGGAGGTGAGGCGGGTTTACCCAGGGTCGGGGGGGTGGGCATGAAAGGCCTGGAACTGCCCCTATTTTCAGAACCTAGTGGTACCGGGCTCACACTACCCTCTCCCTGACAGATCGGGGCTGAACACCCCTACATGAACCGTCTGACAGACGCACTCTACATGGTTCGGTTTAAGGTGAGACCAGGGGTCCATGCCTCTGACCCCCGAGCAGCCTGGTGGGGGGAGGGGAAGAGGCTACATCACAGAGCAGACCCATCCACTCTTCCACTCTTCCATTAAATGTTCCATTCTTGGTGAGATGAAGGGGGCAGGTCAGCGCCTGCAGCATCCTGCACCTGACTCCTCTCCACCAGGGTCAGGGGCCCCATGGAGTGCCCAGCATGCCATCTCGGTGGGTATAGGATTGATAAGATACTTGTCACATTCGTTAACGGTTGTCCCGCGGGCAGCGCCACTAAGGGCCGCTGAAGGCAAGGGACAAGACATGTGGCCAAAGAGCTCCTGCAGCTTTGACATACGAGCAAATGGGTGGACAGGGCGTGGCCCCGGCTGGGAGATGGCATCGGGGATCACAGGCATTTGCCCACTATTTGCATCCATGAGCCAAGGAGGAGCCTAGATCCCCCTGACAGAAACAGGTAGGGGGGCTGCAGGTCTGGTCCTGGTGGGAGGTCTATGCTGATTTCTGGG